TGAATACTTTCCGTACCCACTGTATATATATATATATATATATATATATATATATACACACACATATATATAACATTTATATATTTTATTATACATGATCTTTTTATAACAGTCTGTCTTTTCCACTGTCGTCGTCCTCCTCCAGAAATGTTAATGTTTAGACTCAAGGGGCTTTTCTGCGTAACAGACACACAAAAAGCTACAACTTCCCTCTGCATCTCATTAGTCTCTAAATGTTTCCCATCATGCCAAAAATACAGAGGCAGGCAAATGTCTGTGAATCAGAATCAAGAGCAGAGTCCCTGAAGCCTGACGAACATTTAACAGTGACGACGCCGCAGGAGCACAGACTCTGACCCCAACAGAAGAGCGTTACCTGTCTGCGGCCCTAATAATGAGGAAGTGATGCGGTTCAGACACTTAACGACCGCGCACACGCAACAGACACCGTTAAACTCCACATTAGTTTAATGATGATATATTAGAACATCAGAGATGAATTAAAATCAACACTTATCCACAAATCAAACTGCCTGACGACTGAAATAAAGCCAATAGCATACAACAAAAAATTAGACATGCACACAGTTTCTTATGAAAGCCCATTTCTACCACGGAATAAAAAAATTAAAACAAGAATTGTGACTTTAAATCTCACAATTCTGACTTTTTTCTCAGAATTGCATGTTATAAAGTCAGAAATGCGAGATTTAAACTCGCAATTTAGAGAAACAAAGTTGCTATTCTAAAGATATAAACTCGACTTTTTTTCCTCAGAATCACAGAACAGCTTTTATCTCACAATTCTGACTTTATAATACAATGTGCAATTTATTCATGTATGCAATTGTGAGTTATAAAGTCAGTATTGTGAGATATAAACTCGCAATTGTGTTTTTCCCCTCAGAACTGCACTTTATAGCTCGCATCAATGCATGCTATAAACTCGCAGTTCTGAGAAATAAAGTCACAGCTGCGTGCTATAAACGAGAAAAACATCTCACAATTCGGACTTTATTTCTTGTGACTGTGACTTTAAATCCCACAATTCTGACTTTTCTTAATTGCAAGTTCATATCTCACAATTCAGAGAAAAAAGTTTTTATTTTTTATTCAGTGAACGGGCTTCCATAGTTTCAACACCTAATATGTGACCCTGGACCACAAAACCAGTCATAAGGGTCAATTTTTTTTAATTAATGAGCTTTCCATTGATGTGAGGTTTGTTAGGATCGGACAATATTTGGCCGAGATACAACTATTTGAAAATCTGGAATCTGAGGATGCAAAAAAATCTAAATATTGAGAAAATTATCTTTAAAGTTGTTCAAATTAAGTTCTTAGCTATGCATATTACTAATCAAAAATTAAGTTTTGATATATTTACGGTATGAAAATTACAAAATATCTTCATGGAACATGATCTTAATATCCTAATGATTTTTGGCATAAAAGAAAAATCTATAATTTTGACCCATACAATGTATTGTTGGCTATTGCTACAAATATCCCCCAGCGACTGCTTTTGTGCTCCAGGGACACATATTTACAACATTAAAAAAAAAAGGGACGGGGGAATCTGTAGATATGTTTATCTGCCAAAGCTGATCATCTCAAAATTAGCTGGCGATTAATTGGCCTGCCTGATATATCGCTCTTAATATGCATATATCAGCTGTATGTCTGGTGCAAAAAAGGCAAAGCTTAATGAGCAGAAGAACACCACCATCTCCATGATTTCAAGCATGGAGGTGGAGCGGTTTAGAAATCTTGCCTGTATGAAGGGCATCATGGATTCATTGAAATATCAGGCTATTTTGGCAAAGATTGTGGTGCCTTCGGTGCAGAGACGCTTGATCGATGGACTTTCCCGCAGGACAGCCTCTCAAAGTACTACTTAAAGGGACAGTTCACCCAAAAATAAAGCTCCTGTCATCATTTACTCATCCATCAAACCTGTATGAGTTTCTTTATCTGGAAGAAAGTCGGTAGCCATTGACTTCCATAGTATTTTTTTCCCCTACTATTGAAGTCAAGCTGTTTGGTTACCAACATTCTTCCAACTTTACATTTCTGGGTGAACTATCTCTTTAAAGGATTAGTTCACTTCCAGAATAAGTTTTTGAACAGTAAGATTTTTAAATGTTTTTTTCTTTTGCTCGCAGAGGCTGCATTTATTTGTTAAAAAATACAGTAAAAACAGTAAAATTGTGAAATATTTTTACTATTTAAAATAACTGCTTTCTATGTGAATATCTGTTAAAATGTAATTTATTTCTGTGATGTGCAGCTGAATTTTCAGCATCATTACTCCAGTCTTCAGTGTCACATGATCTTCAGAAATCAGTATAATATGCTGATTTGCTGCTCAAGAAACATTTCTGATTATTATCAGTGTTGAAAACAGTCGTGCTGCCGCTATATATGTTTCAAACCCCCATCACAGCCTCATATGCACACAGATAATGACAGTAAATCATGTAATCGTGAGTGTGCTTCACTGACCCAGGTACAGCACGGTGGGGATGAAGCCCCAGCGGATGATGAACTGGCCGCACTGGAACACCTGCTGCAGCCGCTGCTTGCTCTCTTTGCTCAGTTTGGCCATCATTTCACTCAGATTTCATCAAAGATCGTCTCTGGATGCGATGCGGAGCGGTGAAGGACACGGGGAAGCACGTGTGTGCCGTAAAGTGTGCGGGCTACAGCAGTCGCAAAAAAAAGAAAAGAAAAAAAAAAAGCGCCACGCTGACATCTAGTGGCCACGAAGGGGACTTCAGGACACCAGCAGTGGACAAAGTGGAAAATATTTTTATTTTATTTTATTTTACTTATTTTATTTTGCTTTATTTATGAAAAATGCATAATTAATACCAAATGTTATATGTAAATGTATGCATTTCGACAATTACCTTGAATTGCTTAATAAAGGCAAATAAAATAACAAAATCCCAGTCTAACACATGTTTTAATGGTAACACTTTACAATAAGGTTCCTTTAGTTAAAGTTAATGTATTAAACTAACATGAACCAACATTGAACATTACATTTATTACAGTATTTATTAATCTTTGTTAATGTTAGTTAATGAAAATACAGTTGTTCATTGTTAGTTCATGTTCATAATTCACAGTGCATTAACTAATAACAAGCACAACTTTTGATTTTAATAATGCATTAGTAAATATTGGAATTAACATGAACTGAGATTAATAAATGCTGTAGAAGTATTGTTCATGCTTAGTTCATGTTAACTAAAGTAGTTAACTAATTGTAAGTTATTACCGTATGCATTATTGTAAAGTGTTACCGTATGCATTTTGACAATTACCTTGAATTGCTATTTTATTATTTTATTTGATCTTATTCCCTTTGTTATTTATACGACAAATGCATCATTAATACCAAATGTTATATGTAAATGTATGCATTTTTGAATTTCCTGGAAATTGCGTAATAAAGGCAAATAAAATAACAAAATCCCACTCAAACATATGTTTTAATTATACGATATCATTATTTTATTTTACTTTGTTATTAATGAAAAATGTGTCATTAATACTAAATTAAATATTATATGTAAATGTAGGCTTTTTGACAATTTACTTGAATTACTGAATAAAGGAAAGCAAATAAAATAACAAAAGCCCAGTCAAACAAACATTTTAATTACACTATTATTTGTTTTTTATTGTTTTATTTTGCTTTGTTTATGAAAAATGCATCATTAATATACTAAATGAGACGTTATATACAAATGTATGCTTTGTTTCATATAAATGTAGGCCTTTTGACAATTTACTTGAATTTCTGAATAATGAAAGACAATTAAAATAAAATCCTAGTTAAACAGATGTTTTAATTACGCTATTTTATTTTGCTTTATTTATGAAAAATGCATCTTTAATCCTAAATTAAATATTATATATAAATGTATGCACTTTGACAATTTACTTGAATTACTGAGAAATGAAAGGCAAATAAAATGTCAAAATCCCAGAAAAACAGATATATTTTAATTACACCGTTACTAGAGACAAATCCCAACAGAATAAAGGCTGTAATTAAAGCAAAAGGTGCTTCAACAAAATACTGATCCTTTTCTCAACTCAGTGATTTTTTAAATTGTTTTATTTTATTTTTTCTGAGATGTTGGTGTTTTATCTTTCACTTGGATGTTATAAGCTGCACTGAGTAAATACAGCTGGATAAAACTAAAACTGTGTCCGTCTTCATTTCAGGCTGCAAAGCAACAAAATTATATTTTTTTTTAAATTTCACATAAAGGAGGTGATTCTTTTCTATACTCACTGTATATTACACGTTTGAAAAATTGCATCTAATTCAAATAATTAAATATTAACGGTCTTATTTAAAGAACTAATAACCCTTCAAAATAAGGGTCTCAAGTTAAAGGTGGGGTAAGTGATTTCTGGTAGCCAATGTTGACATTTGAAATCACCAAAACAAACACGCCCCTATTTTGATAGCTCCGCCCCACATATATGTACGCAACCCCGGCAACGATTAATAAACAAAGCAAAACCAATGTTACACTGTGTCGACAAAATACTATGAAACTCATTATAATCAATGATGCTGTCTACACCATAGATTTATATATATATATATATATATATATATATATATAGTACATATTATCTATGGTCTACACTGAATACACACGACACAACACGAGAAATCCCCAACAGAAAACTGCTGCTGCGTTCTATTCATGACGTATTGACACAAATTACAAATGATTTTCAACGCTCGCTTTGAGTGTCCAGTGTACTAGACAGACTTTAGCTGTTGCGGCGCAGACACGGTGTTACTCACCGATCGAGAAGAAACAAAGCAACCTCGGCGTCCGATCGCAGGCCTCCGCTCCTTGAGTTCTCTCCAGCGCTGGAAAGCTGATCCGATATTTGCACGGGTCCTACTTCTTGCCTTAAGCCTTCTTTTGTTCCTCAGAGGTTTTCCTCTTTTGTCTTTTATCCGCCATCTCTATCTTTCTGTCGCTCGGCTCGCTAATGTCCGTCCTGTGCACTAACTCTCTCTCCTCCACATCATGAGTAGACACGCCCCTTACTGCTGATTGGCTACAAGTTTGTTTTGGTACTCGGCCCGAATCAGTTTTCTAAAGCGTTTTTGAAAAATCGCTTACCCCACCTTTAACTTACCATTACAAAATAAAAGCATGTTTTACCCTACAAATTTAAATGAATTACTATGTCCTCAAATCCTCAAAGACTTTTAATTTTAATATAAAATAATAAATCCATAAAATAAATTCAGAGATCAGTATTATTTAATGACAAAAGTTTAATGATTTAATCTCAAAACTCTTTAAATAGAAAGAAAAAAAATGATCGGCATTGAGTTTTTGAAATTAAAAGGTACTCAGTAAAACAATAATAAAGATTGTTTTCTTGCTATTTAAAAATCCAGTCACGCTGAAATAGAAATCTTTATTTTCAGAGACTGTAACCATGTTACTTTTTTTTGACGAAAGGCAAAAAATGACTTCAGTACAATAATATTTACAATTCACAACAAAATATTCACATTCTCCAAATGATCTGAGCACGGTTAATGAGGGTCCACTTCAAATTAAAAACTCAAACCATTATGAGCAGAAAACGTCTTCAAAAACATCATCCTAAAAAAGAAAACAATAAAACCAGACAAGTACTGGTGCAAAAGCACAGTGCTGCACCAATAAAAGAAGAAAAATCAATTCACCGATTCATTTTTAAATCAAGAAATGATTTGTGGCTTATAATCACACTCTGCCGTAGTGACACATCAGCAGCTGGTTAACTATTACCAGTTTAACCACCGATACTAACCCGCCCGCCTCATGTGTCAAAGCATCTCTTATGGCCTCACATACAGCAATTCAACTAATAACCATATTGCTTTAGAAACACCATGAAAAATGAAGACGACTCTTGTTTTGGTCTGATTTCCACAGGATTTTCCACTCGGGTTTGTAATCAAGCACACAAATTCCCATGAAAACTGTGAAAGGATGGCTTCGGTTCGAGCCCAGTGCATGCTGGGATACGTGGAGAAGAGAAACTGCAGTTTTCACACACGTGAGTCACTCGAATCGTCATAAAAAATACACAACATCTGACTTCGCAAGGATCTTTTAAAAACACTTCAAAAATACATGACTTTGGTAATCAATCACGACTGACGGAAACAAAAAACCGAAGGGAAAAACTTCCTGTAAGGTGCTGCAGTTTCCTGCCACCAGGTGGCAGCAGTGAGCGTCTCTGTTTAGGGTCACAGGTCAGAGGTCACGTGGATACTGATGGTGGGCGAGCGCTGCCGGGGCTGGTGGGCGGGGCTTATGTGTTCCAAATAAGCCACGCCCCCGCGGTCCGCTTCTGCGACGTGATTGGAGGCGAGGACGTTGCTGACCTGCTCGAAGGAGCGCGAGAAGACGGCGCTGGCGGTGCGTGACAGACTCAGCGAGCCGCTCTTGGGCACTGATTGGCTGGCGGTCAGCGTCAGGCGTTTGAGTGACAGGAGCTCCAGGTTCTCGCTCATGGCGCGGACGGTGGGCTGTTTGCGTGTCAGCTGATCCATGCTGGAGGCTGCTTCCTTGTCCTTGTCTTTGCTGGAGCGGCCCGTCAGGCGGCGCAGGCCCTTCCCGCTCAGTTTCCCACCGCCGCCGCTGCTGCTGCTGATGACGATGCTCGGAGCGGTGGACGTCTGTGTGCAGATGCCCTCGTCCACCTCGGCGATCTCCGTCAGCTCATCCGGGGAACCCAAATCCACTGCGTCTGCGGCGGAGAGAGAGAGAGAAGAACGGCTCAGAGCTGTGGAGTTTTTAATGTTTTTGAAAGAGTCTCTTCTGCTCACAGAGGCTGCATTTATTTGATCAGAAATACAGCAAAAGCAGTAAAATTGTGAAATATTTTTACTATTTAAAATAGCTGTTTTGTATGTGAATATCTGTTCAAATGTAATTTATTCCTGTGATGCGCAGCTGAATTTTCAGCATCATTACTCTAGTTTTCAGTGTCACATGATCTTCAGAAATCATTCTAATATATTTTTGTGGACCTTTTTTTTTTTTTTTTTACAAAAAATTAAATTAATTTAATGTGGCAGTAAAACATTTATAATGTTACAAAAGATTCTATTTCAAATAAATACTGTTCTTTTGAACTTTCTGTTCATCTGTGAATCCTGAAAAATAAAATGTATCAGTTTCCACAAAAATATTGTGCAGCACGACTGTTGATAATAATCAGAAATGTTTCTTGAGCAGCAAATCAGCATATTAGAATGATTTCTGAAGATCATGTGACACTGAAGACTGGAGCAATGATGCTGAAAATACAGCTGCGCATCACAGAAATAAATTACATTTTAACACATATTCACATAGAAAATAGCCATTTTAAATTGTAATAATATTTCACAATTTTACAGTTTTTACTGTATTTTTGATCAAATAAATGCAGACTTGGTGAGCAAGAAGAGACTTCTTTCAAAAGCATTACAAAAAAATTAATTATTCCAAACGTTTGACTGGTAGTGCATGTATTATTATTATTATTATTATTATTATTACAGATATAGATTCAATCTCACAAAAAATATCCAGGTCATATTTCACCACAAAAAAATAAAAAATTAAATAAAAATAAAAATAAATTAATTAATATATTAATTAATT